CAATAATCAACAAGTTTAAATTTAAAAATATTGCTCTATACAAACTATAAATTGCTATTAAATGAGCTGTATTGACTTTTTTCTAATTAATGTCTCTGTCAAGAATTTTTTCACTCAAATGGACACCCCACTATTTGTTGGTGGAGGGCTGCAAATTTACACTTATGCTCGGCCCTCAGTGCCATTGAGCAGTTGGAGATCTTTATCATGTCAGAGCCTAATGCAATAAGGTACGTCTAGCTGTTTTCCACATTCCGCATCAGTTTTCAATCCATGATGTAAGGATCAGCTATACCTACTCCGTAACCCTAGAGCAGATACTTTAACCGTTGCACCATGTGGGTGTAAAATGAGGTTAAAGCTGACTTAGTAATGACAATATGAATCAAACCCATTAAGTCAAATTTATACAGTCATGTACATGTAAAAGAACAATATTAAAAAAAAGGAGAAAATACTGCATGTATAATTTGGAACCAGGAAAGCTACAATCTTGTCCAAAATTTAAAATAGGCGTATATTTTTTTCTCCAAGTTTGTCAATTTTTGAAATTGCAGATAACATTACATGTGTAGAGGATGACACAGTCAGGCAACCTTTCAATGAAAATCGTCCTTCATAAATGTGATGACATGGTGTACATTGCGAGGATATAAAACATTGAATGTGATTCTCACAGGGAAAGTGACTTGTTTGTATATAAAGAGAATTAAAGTACAGTATAAATGGCTTTTTCGACAGATGTGTTCATTTTTTTCATTTGTTGACATGTTAATTTAAAGATAATCATTCAATCATGTAGGGATTTTTTTTATATATTTTAAATTGTGTAAACGTGTGCTTTTTTTGTTTGTGATGATGGTCATAAAATGCAATGTGTTTACCATGAACAAATCTGTTGTTTGATATTTATTTAAACTTGTGATTAGGAATATCAGGAATATTTGAATGGAAGCAAAAAATGTTAACTAATAAAGGAGGCTGGGGGGGGGGGGGGGGGGGGGGGGGGGGGGGGGGGGGGGGGGCAATTAACCATCAAATAAAGATTAATTTTTCAGATATGATATCTTAAGCTGTCCCCTATCATTTGACAAAGAAAAATTTCATTTTTAATTTTTTTTTGTTTATCTTTTTATAGACCTCTTCTTCTAAAGGCTTTCAATTCAGTCTAAAAATGTCCTCGACCACCCAGCCTTCTTAACATTATATTTACATATACCGTTGCATTATGCAATGAGTTCCTGAATGAAATGAAAGAAATAATATGATTATGATGAATAAACCATTTCTAAAGACTTAAATTTGTATGTTTACTTCTTTTGAAAGTAATATGGATGAAGAAATTAAAGGTATATATATTTATTGATTAATAAAATTTTGCATGTACATGTATAAAAATTACGAAATTTTTTACAATTTATTAAGCATTAAGCTTTTTGTCATCTTTAAGTCATGACATTTTTTTTTACAATAAAGGCATTTGTAATATATATTTAAAAAAATAAAAAAACAAACAAACTAATTTTAAATGTTTTGTACATTTTTATTATTATATTGTAAAAAATATAACATAATGATACTACATGTGTCAATATTACGTATATGTATGTTAAATAAGGTTTTTTAGCTCACCTGAGCCGAAGGCTCAAGTGAGCTTTTCTGATCACATTTTGTCCGTCGTCCGTCCGTCCGCCCGTCTGTCTGTCTGTCCGTCCGTCTGTCTGTCCGTCTGTAAACTTTTCACATTTTCGACTTCTTCTCAAGAACCACTGGGCCAATTTTGACCAAACTTGGTACAAAACATTCTTGGGTAAAGGGGAATTTAAATTGTTAAAATGAAGGGACATTTCCCCTCGCAAGGGGAGATAATCAAGAAAAGACGAAAATAGGGTTGGGTCATTAAAAAATCTTCTTCTCAAGAACCACTGGGCCAGTAAAGCTGAAACTTATGTGGAAGCATCCTGGGGTAGTGTAAATTCTAAATTGTTCAAATCATGACCCCCGGGGGAAGGGTGGGGCCACAATGGGGGATCAAAGTTTTATATAGAAATATATAGGAAAAATCTTTGAAAATCTTCTTCTCAAGAACCACTGGGCCAGAAAAGCTGAAACTTATGTGGAAGCATCCTGGTGTATTGTAGATTCTAAATTGTTCAAATCATGACCCCCGGGGAAAGGGCGGGGCCACAATGGGGAATCAAAGTTTTATATAGAAATATATAGGAAAAATCTTTGAAAATCTTCTTCTCAAGAACAACTGGGCCAGAAAAGCTGAAACTTATGTGGAAGCATTCTAAGGTAGTGTAAATTCTAAATTGTAGGAATCATGACCCCCGGGGGAAGGGCGGGGCCATTATAGGGAATCAAAGTTTTACATAGAAATTTATAGGAAAAATCTTTGAAAATCTTCTTCTCAGGAACCACTGGGCCAAAAAAGCTGAAACATATGTGCCCATTGAAGGATCATGGGGTAGTGTAGATTTCAAAATGTCTAAATTATGATCAGTGGGGTAGGGTGGGTATGCATTATGTATAACAAGGGGGAAAACTGGTAATTTAAGAACAGAATGGTCAAAGCTTCTCAGGTGAGCGATGTGGCCCATGGGCCTCTTGTTTTTCATGTCTTTTGAATCGCTGCTTTTTTTTTATATAGATAAAATTACATGTATTAAAACCTTAAGTTAATTACCAGTATTTTAAAATTGCTGCTTGTTACTTTGGAGGGGAAAACATTCTTTAAGGCAATTATTTAATGACAATATTATATGTTGCTTCTAGCCATCTTGAAAAACGCAATGAAAAATTAATGAAAAAAAGCACTGTGTTCAATATTTTCAACATGCATGAGGAAAAAAAAACACATCGTATTAAATCATAACTTGCATACACTTAAAAGTTAACAAATTTAGGTCAACGGAGCCACTCATGTGACTTATTGCTATCTAATTTCGTCCATCGTCATGAATTCTTCATGTGTCGTATGTTAACTTTAGGGAGAACAATTTCATTTTCTTCTCTAAAACCACTGAACCAATATCAACCAATTTTGACATATAACATCAGTCTGAATGTGATGGGGAATGAGGGATAGGGCCAAAACTACGAAAACCAATGCAACCGTTGAAAATTGTTTTTACTGCTTGACATCAAGCAGTAAAACTGTTGGCATGTTTGTAATGAGAATTGAGCCCTCTACCGAAATTTTGAAATTCATGGCCCCAGGGTACATGTAAGGGTTCTGGTGTTAGTGCTTAGCTCTGTTAAATAGCTAATAGTATACTAGTAGTAAAAATATATCTTTTTTTTTAAAGTTTCCTTTCTGGTCTTAGTTATTAAACCAATGAACAATATATATAGTTTTGATAAGAAAGGATCGATGTTATTTCTCTACCAGAGCCATCAAACAGTTTAAGTTAGGATTGACCTTCATCACGCACAGCTACGTATACATCTCGAACAAGCATTTCTGTTATGCATGCAGTTCCTTAAGCTATGATGTAATTAAATCGGACATTATCAAGGGAGAACCTTTTTGATGGCTTTTTTCTTTCCTTTTGCATACACATATTCTTATCATTTGAACGGTCACCGCGATAATTCCCCCCAAAACCAGTATAACGGAAAATGTTATTGCTATGATAGAATCATTAGTATTGCTTCTAATATTTTTTGGATGCTCCGAGTTGCTCTTGTAAGAATCGGATTTCAAAGTTCTTGATTCATTTCCAGTTACCAAGACCGACGAAGTGGTACTCCCATATTTGATTTGATAATTGCCATGTGCATTTATAACTGTATTCATTTCATTTCTGTTGACAAATAGCAAATTTGATTTTCTGCTTTGAAGTCTTGGTGAGAAAAGGTTTAGGCTAGATTCATCTACAAAAAGAAAGCATGGTAGTAATGTGTTATTCACACAACATAAAGAACGCAACTTCATTCAATTTATTAATCATATACTTAGGAATTTTTCGTTGAAGACATATTATAATGCATTTATTGTAAAGGAGCCGTACGGTTACAATCACTGTTTAAAATAAATTATATTTGAGGTAAAAAGAAAAAAAAAACCTTTTGTGGCCACATATTGGAAAAAATTACAATATATATACATGTACATATGTAACCTATTTTATCGCTTTATATGCACTAGACCTAGACTTTATTATTGCACTCCACATTTATTCTAGCAAGAAAAATCAAACTGTTTCTCGGTGTAGACCCTTGGCCTTTCTATAAGTCTGTAGAGTATTAACATTTTAAACGCTGACATATTTCATTTATAACTATTTTATCACACCTCATAAACTCTAAAGATTCAGTATATAAGCATAATCATACCAGATACTTTAAAATTAACAATGCACCCATGAGAAAAGTTGCATTGAGTCCTTGTACACCTGCAGATTTTTTGACATTGTTCACCATATGTAGGGTACCCGCATTTCTTAGAACAATTCAGATCAAAGTATCCAGGCCTGCAACCTGTTAAAAGATAAGAGTAGCAAATGATCAAGGACATTATGTAAGCTTATCATTAATACAAGACATATAGCTGTATAGAAAATAATGATAAATTGGTAGAACGGAATCTGGTTTGGCTAACCACATACATGTCTTGACATGAATGAAAGTGGGCTATATTTTCTTTCTTGATATGGTTTACGTACGAATGCAATTTCCTGTGATTTGTTCCCGATAATATCCATCGCAGCATACAGGCCCCGTGTTACTAAACAAACAGACAAAGGGATAGTATATTTTAATTTAAAGAAATGATGATTTCAATTCAATGACCATTAACTGGAAAAAGGAAATAAAGAGAGCATCATGATTTAAATAAAATTCATGTGTTTGGTGATCGTTCCTTACATACCTGTCGCACACCTCTTGATTCAGTCCTGTTGATGCTGAATTCATGACGATTAACATACAAATTAGGTAATTTAGAAAATAATCCATTTAGATATATAAATGCATTAGGTTATTTACAAATCTACTTTCTGTTTCATTTTAGTCGGATTTTCCGGCTAATGGTACTTTGCGGAACGAAACGGAACGGAACGGAACCAGTTGTGGGGCACCCTAGGGGGAATAAATATGAATATATTATATAATAAAAATGAATATAATAAGTTAATTTATTGCAAATTATTCTGCCATTCTATATCTTAGGAAACCATCCAAAGAAAGTGTCAAGTGTCTGAAGTAAAGGACCATAAAATAAAATGTCTATAAATTATGAATTATTCTGCCGTTAAGTTTTTGATCTGCTGTGTCATGTGTAGTAACTATGTGAACTGTTTTGAATGACAGACGTATACCTATCAATGATGTAAAAAAAATATTAATGCTTTTCCTTCAAAGTTTACTGTCAATAGATTATAATGAAAAAAATGTCGTTCATGTGCAGTCTAAAGGTAAAGAGAGTTGTCGCGCTTTCCCAGTATGGTCATCTCTGGTTCCGTTTCGTTCCGCTAAATACCAATATCCGTGTGGGTATTAGTATTTAGCGAAACGGAACGAAACACAGTTAAGTAGGAATAAGATGATACACATACAAACATTTTGTTGTATTTCATTTCATCTCATCTTTTTAATAATCAAAATTTCAGGGGGAAAGAAATATAAGAGACAAGGATGTTTGAAGAGGAAAGTATATCATCCATCATATATCCAGCATAATAAAGCATTTTTTTTAACCTTTCAAGCTTCTCCAAAAGTCTTGTCTTTATACAATCGCAGGCCTTGATGTTGATAGGAAAACGTAAATACCATCTCTCTGTCTTCAACTAAATCGATATGCAAAATAAGTTTAACTTTATTATTATGTAAAGGTAGATCTTAAAACGCGTGATTTGCAATTTGCTGTATGCTAACAAATATGTTTACTACCTGAACCTTGATCGATATCTTAGATATTCAGTTCTGCGCTAATAAGAAAAGAAACACACACAACAGGTTCCGTTCCGTTTCGCAAAATACCATTATCCACTACAATATTAGTACTTTGCGAAACGGAACGGAACTATTATATCAAAGGTTTTAAAACTCTGTTAATGAACGACGTGAGATAAGTTTTGTGTCCTGTAAGGAATTGAATTGAAAATAATGCTCAGCATTGAAATTATTTTGACGACAGTCCTAAAAATTCTTCTTTTTAAAAAAAAAAAATAAAATTAATCAAAAAGTTTTGTTAACTTTTCATTTTCTGTAAGTTAAACACCATTTATATTTGAAAAGAAGAGGCAAGAAAAGTATTTCAAAATGATCAAATCTTGTTCCGTTCCGTTCCGCAAATTACCAATATCCACACGGATATCGGTACTTTGCGGAACGAAACGGAACCACATCTTTTTATTTGAAGAGAAAAAAAAAACAAGAACTAACCAAAAACAACCTAAATCTGCCGTAGTATTCATGACATCAACCAATTTTTTAGCTTTCATGAATCCTGGGTAAATCAGAATATTTCAAAATAAGTTTAACTGAGAGAACAAGTCATTTTTAATTAAAGGAAAATATATGACATTCACGTAACAACTTATTTCTTCATATATTTATTCCATTGTGTTTTAGTTTTGCTGAGATTTGTTTAGTTCCGCTGAATACTACTAGTAATTTCTGTAGTGACTATGTGAACTGTTTTTAATGAGAGACGTACACCTATCACTGATGTAAAATAGTAAAATATTATTAATGCTTTGCCTTCAAAGTTTACTGTCAATAGATTATAATGAAAAAAATGTCGTTCATGTGCAGTCTAAAGGTAAAGAGAGTTGTCGCGCTTTGCCAGTATGGTCATCTCTGGTTCCGTTCGTTCCGCTAAATACCAATATCCGTGTGGGTATTAGTATTTAGCGAAACGGAACGAAACACAGTTAAGTAGGAATAAGATGATACACATACAAGCATTTTGTTGTTATTCATTTCATATCATCTTTTTATTTATCAAAAATTAAATTTAGGGGGGAAAATAAAATAGGAAGAAAGTAATTCATCCATCATATAAGTAATGCACAATAAAAGGATTTTTGCAGAAGAAAATTATCCATCATATATGAAGCATAATAAAGCATATTTTTTACCTTTCAAACTTCTTCAAAAGTCTTGTCTTTATATCAGTTATATATACAAATACAATCGCAGGTCTTGATGTTAATAGGAAAACGTAAATATTAACAAATATGTTTACTACCTGAACCTTGATCGATATCTTAAATGTTCAGTTCTGCGCTATTAAGAAAAGAAACACACACAACAGGTTCCGTTCCGTTTCGCAAAATACCATTATCCACTACAATATTAGTACTTTGCGAAACGGAACGGAACGGAACTACATTATCAAGGGTTTTAAAACTCTGTTAATGAACGACATTAGAATTTTTTTGCCCTGTAGGGTTTTGAATTTAAAAATCACGCTCAGCAAGAAAATTAATATGACCGGCGACAGTCCAAAAAATTCTTGTTTTCTTTACATACAGTCAAAGAAAAGGTTTTTTAACTTTTCATTTCTGTAAGCTTATTAAACAATATTTATATTAGAAAAGAAGAGGAAAGAAAAGTATTTCAAAATAATCAAATCTTGTTCCGTTCCGTTCCGCAAATTACCAATACCCACACGGGTATCGGTACTTTGCGGAACGAAACGGAACCACATCGTCTCATTTAAAGAGAAAAAAAAACAAGAACCAACCAAAACAGCATAAATCTGCCGTAGTATTCATAGGAATATTCCAAAATTAATTTACCTGATAGAACAAGTCATTTTTGATTAAAGAGATATATGACATTCACGTTACAACATATTTCTTCATATATTTATTTCATTGTTTCAATTCTGCTGAGGTTTGTTTAGTTCCGCAGAATACTACCAGGATAATTTCTGTAGTGACTATGTGAACTGTATTGAATGAGAGACGCTCACATATCACTGATGTAAAAAGTTATTGCTTTTCTTTCAAAGTTTATTGTCAATAGCTTATTATAAAAAGAATATCCTTGATGTGCAGTCTAAAGGTAAAGAGAGTTGTCGCGCTTTCCCAGTATGGTCATCTCTGGTTCCGTTTCGTTCCGCTAAATACCAATATCCGTGTGGGTATTAGTATTTAGCGAAACGGAACGAAACACAGTTAAGCTTGAATGTATAAGTGGGGAAATAAAGTATGGTCATCATACACAATTACACCAGGATATGACAGCATAACAGTATCAAAGTATATACCATCAGTTTAAGACATATTTCCAAAAAAATTCAAATCACCATGTGACACGCAACATGACACTTGACAGTCACAAGATACTCGTATCTATACGTTCAACTCGTTTGTTTTATTTTCATGTACAACTAACAATTTTTCTTTCAGTAACGTAATTTTTCTTATTACAACTGCATTCTTCCCCATATTCAAAATTTAGTTGGAATAACTTGTGCCAAGTTAATTAAGTAGTCCTTTGAATACAACAATATGCTTAATCAGATATTCTAATGAACAATTTTTAACTCTTCATATTTGTTCCTTAAGAACACTACCTGTTAGTTTAGCCAGCGTAACATTGATAACTTTCTGATCAAAAGTAATACAGTGAAACCAATACTCATTACTCATTGCAACTACTCGGTAAAAATAGCCTACACATGAACATTCTTACAAAATGAAATTAAAAAGAATAAGATTATGGATAAACATGTATACATAATGAAAAAAATATACAAATGAACGGCAGTTTTGAAAATAAAATTAGCAACACATTTGTTTCAAATCAATCCAATTAAAGACGAAACTATACCTTTTCAAAAATTCTTAAGTGAAGTCTGTCACCTTCTTGAAAATAGTTCTTTCCGGCAAGCTTGGATCTCCCTAAAATGTCGGAAAGGAAAAATGCGATAATCTAAAATGTGGTTCCGTTTCGTTCCGCAAAGTACCGATATCGGTGTGGATATTGGTAATTTGCGGAACGGAACGGAACAAGATTTGATCTTTTTGAAACACTGTTTCTTGCCTCTTCTTTTCAAATATAAATAGTGTTTAACTTACAGAAAATGAAAAGTTAACAAAACTTTTTGTTTTATTGTATTTAAAAAAAAGAAGAAGAATTTTTAGGACTGTCGTCAAAATAGCATGATTTTCATTTCAATTTCTTACAGGACACAAAACTTATCTCACGTCGTTCATTAACAGAGTTTTAAAACTGTCACAGAGCAATCACCCGAGTTAATTAATTGTAAATGAGAGAGTTAGAAGTTCTGATAGGTTACAGGTGCGCGGCACAGGATACATCCCAAGAGTGTGATTTTAGCTTGTTAGAGAGAAAGAGAGGGAGAATTATAATTTGTTTATTTGTCATTTCTATTATCGTTGTTTATTGTGCTTGATAGAGTTCTGAGAGATGAAAGTGAGCATTAGATTGATTTGTGTGAGAAAGTGGGCCCTGGGAACATGAGTGAGAGAGAGGAGAACAAATCTGAAAGTCAATGAGTGTGGACGTGTCTTTTCATTGTGAACATTCATTTGTGATTTCTTATAAATATATCTTGTGTTGTAAATATGTAAATAAACGATGTAAATAAAAACAATCGTCATTATTAACCAGTGCCAGTGACAGGGAGGAACCCCGTCACAAAACCTTTGATATAATAGTTCCGTTCCGTTTCGCAAAGTACTAATATTGTAGTGGATAATGGTATTTTGCAAAACGGAACGGAACCTGTTGTGTGTGTTTCTTTTCTTATTACCGCAGAACTGAATATTTAAGATATCGATCAAGATTCAGGTAGTGAAGATATTTTTAAGCATACAGCAAACTGCAAATCATGCGTTTTAAGATCTACCTTTACATAATAATGTTAAACTTATTTTGCATATCGATTTAGTTGAAGACAGAGAGATGTTATTTGCAACAGGGCCTGCGATTGTATTTGTACATATAATTGATATAAAGACAAGACTTTTGAAGAAGCTTGAAAGGTTAAAAAAATATGCTTTATTATGCTGGATAT